CTGAAATAAAATAAAAAAAAAATCTGTTAACTTTTTTTTTTTTTTTTTTCAGTGGCCCTAATCCTCTTCCGTAGCTCTGTGTATTGAGGTGTTTATAATGTATGTAAACTATATTCGTGTGCACATGAGGTCCCCTGATGTTCCTGTTCTGTTGTTAACCTGTTGGTCATCTTCATGGATGATCTAACTCCTGCTTCAGGGATGAGGAGATCCGTGAGAAGTGTGGCGAGGACGCCGTGCACTACCTGTCGTTCCAGCGCCACATCATCGGGCTGCTGGTCGTCGTCGGCGTCCTCTCCGTCGGCATCGTCTTGCCCGTCAACTTCTCCGGCGACCTGCTGGGTAAGAGCTGCAGCTGAGCCTCAGAAGCTGCTTGGACTCTGGTCTGCAGGATTCCTTTCATGAGCTTTTGGATTTTGTTTTCTGGTTGCCTTTAGTCAGAATTATCAGTGCAGATGCTTTCCTAAGTCAGGGGGCTCCTGGACCTCCTTCCAAAGAAGGTAAAAGTTGGTGGCTGCAGAGGTGTAGGTGCTGTAGATGTGGTCTGATGGTAGAAGGTTTTAGCTCGACAAGGACCTGTTGTGACCCTACAGATCAGATTCTGGAACCTTATGTAGAAACCTGGTTCCAAGAAACTCTCCCTTCAGGAAAACTGTATTTTATTTACAGATGCTGTGTGATGTTATTAATGCAGTTAGTTTGAGTATTTCTCGTAACATCATCAAACATGGGACTCTTGAAACACAAAGATGAATTTAGTTGACTTTAAACACAATCTGTCTGTTTCAGAGAACAACGCCTACAGCTTTGGACGCACCACAATCGCCAACCTGAAGTCTGGGTGAGTTGAGGAGGATCCGTCCCGAGGGAACGTTATGAAAAAAATTCCTTTTTAGCCGAAGAATTGCCACACAGGATTTGTTGGAAATGTTTTTATTAAGAAGTTTTACCAAAAACATGATTGAAATGTGGCGTTTAATACAATTTTACTGCTATTTTTAAGATGGTAGCTGGACTTAAAGGTGTTAAAGTCTTAACTCCTCCCATCCAGTAGGAGGCGCACTCAGGCTCGCCTGCTATCGCTGACCTTCCAGTATTAGCAAACATTTATATTATATATATATTAAAATATATAATAAAAATTTATATTTTTGATAGTTATTTACAGGGTCTGTTATTACTTAAATGCATTTTGATCAAAAAAGAAACAACCTTTTCTATTCCGAAGCCCTCTTTGCTTCTGAATTATTTAATAAATAAGCATAATTTCATAAATTCATTTGTTTTTAAATATTATTTAAGTTATCGAACCATCAGATTGTTTGAAAGTTATATTCATGTAGCCTTTTCTTGTTTTAGAAATCCTTGATATTTTAAAATTTCCTTTAAAAACCATCCATAGAAATTTGAAGTGAATATGGACAATAATTATAGCACAATTCCTTTGATTCAAAATTATATAATATATATATATATATATATATATATATATATATATATATATATATATATATATATAATCAACAAGGTCTTTTGGGCTTTTTTGTGTTCTGTTAAAAGAAAAATCAGCAATAACTTAATTTTTTTCTTATTTACCCAAGGTCCTGTTTGAACATTTATATTCAATGTTCTTTTTTTATTATTATTATTATTCCTACATATTTATTTGACCCAAATTGAATGAAACCCTTTTTTCCCCAGAACCAATCTGTTGTGGCTCCACACTACATTTGCCTTCATGTATCTGCTGCTCACGGTCTACAGCATGAGAAGACACACATCCAAGATGCACTACAAGGAGGATGATCTGGTAGGAGAGCAGCTCTGTTCCACGATCTGACCCAGCTGGTTTCTGTGAAGGATCCCAGCCATGAGGGTTGACCTGTTGTTTATTTTTCCTCACTGGATATAAACAGTTTGTTGTGTCTTACAGGTGAAACGCACTTTATTCATTAACGGCATCTCTAAGTATGCTGAGGAGAGTCAGATTAAGCAGCACTTTGAGTACGTTCCTTTATTGTTCATGAGATCTCAGATGAAGTCCATCAAGTGAAGTTTTAACCCTGTTCCCCAAATACGTGGCTCCTTAGGCAGGCGTACGAGAACTGTGTGGTTCTGGAGGCTCGTATTTGTTACAATGTGGCCAAACTGATGGCGCTGAGCGCCGAAAGGTGAGCCCTGGTTCCTCTGACCTTTCAGGACTTTTAAAAGCAAAGTAAACATTTTATTGTTTGGATTGTAGGAAGAAGACGGAGCGCAGTAAGAAGTTCTTCACCGACCTGATGGCTAAAGAGCACGTCCCCACCATGATCAACCCCAAACCCTGTGGACACCTCTGCTGCTGCGTCATCACCGGCTGCGAGGAGGTGACGTTTTTGCATCTAAAATCTCTCATTTATCTGCAGACCTGCTGTTTATAGCTTTGGTTTTCTGGCCACAGGAAGAGGCTGTGAGCTACTACACCAAGAGAGAGGCGAAGCTAAAAGAGGAGTACAGAAAGGAGAAAGAAAAGGTCCACACCAAACCCCTGGGCATGGCCTTCGTCACCTTCCAAAATGAGGCCATGACCGCCATGTAAGCAAACCCCTAGTTGTCCGAGTGCTCATTTATTACCGTTACAGATCATTTCACATGGATGACCGTATATGGATTTCATCATTTATTTAATTTTCTCTCCCTGCAACTCAAATTCCCTAACCCAAACCGTCTATAACTCCACCCCTCATATTCTCCCTCTGACTCCACCCAAATTATTTATGACTCCTCCAATGGTTTCTTTCTGTCCTCTTTGTGATGGCCCCTCCCATTGTTTGACTCCACCCACACCACTTTCTTCGCTTTGGCTCCTCTTTCTTTTGACCCTCCCACATGACTTATACATCTTCTCCCGTTGCACGCTCGCATTATCTCCCCTTTCGTTTGTGATGTCATCCTTCTAAATTATTTTCTCTGTGACTCCGCCCCCTTGTAGCATCCTGAAGGACTTTAACGCCTGTCAGGTTCAGGGCTGTCGTTGTCACCAGGAGCCTTGTTCCTCTCAGTTCAGCGAAGTCCTCCATGTTCACAACTGGAGCGTGACGTACGCTCCCGACCCGCAGAACGTTCGCTGGTATGTGCACAGGCTCCGCCCACCTCAACAATACCGTTAATGCTGTGGAGCCAGCTGACATGTTCTTGCTCGCTGCAGGGAGCACCTCTCACTGGGCGGGATCTCCTGGTGGATCCGCTGCTTCATCATCAACTGCATCCTCTTCCTCTTGCTCTTCTTCCTCACGACGCCGGCCATCATCATCTCCACCATGGATAAGTTCAACGTCACCAAGCCCGTGGAGTATCTGAACGTGAGGAGAATCATCCCGCCTCGCTGTCCCTCTGAGTTCGGCTTTGTGCTGCTGAGCTTCTGGTTCTGACCTTTTTGTTTCTGTTCTGGGCAGAACCCTATAGTCACTCAGTTCTTCCCCACCCTGCTGCTCTGGGCATTCTCCGCTCTGCTGCCTACCATCGTCTATTATTCCACCTTCTTTGAAGCTCACTGGACCAGGTACTGCTGCTTCTTCTCACCTTTCTCACATCTCTAACATTAACACAGGTTAACGAGGATCAGTGCACATGTTCATGCGACTTCTTTTAGCACAACGTTTGAACTGAAGTGGGGATAGAGTTTGAACTGACTGGCTCCTCCATCTGTTCCTGCAGGTCTGGAGAAAACAGGACGACGATGCACAAATGTTACACCTTCCTGATCTTCATGGTTCTGCTGCTGCCGTCTCTCGGACTCAGCAGGTGGGATTTGTCGCAGACGCTCCTGGTTAGCTAGCCGCCTAGCTCCGCCGTCACTGAACCCTCCCTGTCTGTGTTTACAGTCTGGACGTGTTCTTCCGCTGGCTGTTCGATAAGAAGTTCCTGGCTGATGCCAAGGTCCGATTCGAGTGAGTCTTCTATTCTGTCTCTACAATTGTGAAGCAAACAGAGTCCTGAGGAGACCAAAGACGCAGTGTTTTATAAGGCCGCATTTCTAGAAGCTTCTGTACCTCTAAATCTGATCGGGACACTATTTAAAAGTTACTCCAGTATCTATATCCGGAGTCTGAAATTCAGACTCAAAAAATATTCAGATTTATTTTCAAAACAAGCTTTTATTTTGAAAGGACTGATCGATTTTGGGAAGTTGCAGCTGTCAGCCATGATGTTTTCTCAGGTGGAACAGGTTCTTTATCACTGGGGGTTAAACTCTGAGTGCCATTCAGAAATAATTATTTCCTTTAGGTCGTGAGCACATCTATGGTGTTTTTATGAAATATTTTATTTTATTTAACATGTTTTCTTATCACCTCGTTATAAATTACCCATCTAAAGATTATAGATATAGTTCATCTCCTACTGAAGCAGCAAATAAACAGATTGACTGGTTCTCATTAGAGTTCCATTAGAGTGTCGGAGATCAAACCAAACATCTGACCTGAAGCTTCCTGTGAAGAAAAACAAGCTTCAGGTGACTGTTGGAGGTTATGGCTTTAATTCAACACAACTTCAGGAGTCAAGCACAGAATGATTTTATTCATTTATTTTATTTCAAAGTGTCTGAAAAGCTTTTGTGAAAAGCTCACAAGGTTGATAGTTTCTGATTAAATAGTTGATTATGAAAGTTATTTGATTATTTCTTGAAGCATAACAGAAAATGTTTCAACTTAGAATTATGGCGGGAAACTATGGAAGCCCGTTTCCGCCACTCTTAAAAAAAAAAAAAAAAAAAAGTTTCTCATTATATTGAGATAGTAACTCAATATAATGAGTTACTATCTCATTTTAATGAGATGCAAACTTAATATGAGATAGTTTCTAATTATAATGAGATAGTAACTCAATATAATGAGATAG